AAAATAAAGATTGCATTATTTTTACTTTTTATTTATTTATTTATTTATTTATTTATTTATTTATTTATTTATTTATTTATTTGGTTTTCACATTTTTATTGAGGGCCACGGTGGGGATCCTCCTCCCTGTCAGTGGAGCTGCTCACAGTTTCTTCAGCCACTCCAAGCTTCGGCCCTTGGGGTCCTGGGGGTGGCTGGGTATGTCAGGCATGTTCCCATCATCTCGGACGGGCACTGGGTAGTTGTAGGGTTTGACCTGGTTGATCATGGTGGCATACTTGGTGTAGGGGCTGACGGGGGACAGAATTATAGCGAGGCCCCCGATGGTGAAGGACACGACCAGAACCGGCTCCTTGGCCCAGGCATTCTTGAAGAAGGCAGCGAGTCTCCCCGCCATCTTGGTCTCGGCGACAGCCGCGGCTATTTTTACTTTTTAGTTCTTATTGATTTATTTCTTTTCATGTCTGATTTTTTTTTAATTGTGGTTAAAAACACACAACACAAAATTTACAATCTTAACCATTTTTTAAATTGAAACCACTTTATTGTTTTTCCTTAGAGACTTAATTTTTTGTGCTTGCATCCCTAAATACTATACTTGAAGTTTGCCGGTTTCTTTACTTAGTTATAGTTGACATACAATTTTCTATTAGTTTCAGATGTACAATATAATGCTTAGACATTTATGTACCTTACAATGTCATCACCACATTCAGTCTAGTAACAATCAGTCACCATGTGAAGTTATTATCACAGTATTATTGACTTTTTCCTTTACCTTTTTTCTCCATTCCAAAACTCCCCTTTTGACAACCATCAGTTTGAACACTGTTTCTATGAGTCTTTCTTTTGTTCTGTTTTGTTTTTTTAGATTCCACATATAAGTGAAATGATATGGTATTTGTCATTCTCTATCTGACTTATTTCCATCCATGTTGTTGCAAGTGGCAAGATTTTGTTCTTTTATTATTTAAGTATATAGTTCAGTAGCATTAAGTATATTTACACTGTTGTATGTATAAGCAATCTTTTTGCTTTGTTTTATCATATACCTGAATGAGCCTTCTAAAATTTCTTTTATCTGTA